TTTATAAATGAGGAAATGGGTTTAGAAAGGTCATGTTTCTTGCATAAGGTCACACAGGGCAAACTGAAAGCTATCTGATACCAAATTTTATATTATAAACACTGAGACATACCACCTATTTCAACATAACCCCAAAATAAACTGTTCTTTTGTTGCAAGGTGGAGTTTTTAATAAGCAATCCACAGTTATAATCTGATGCCATGGTCTTTCTATTAAAGGATTTTCAAGATATATAATATATTTAAGAAGAAAAATATTCAGCAAAGATACCAATTATCTATAGCTGATAAGATACCGCTAAGAGGAAAATTTATATATATGGCATATATTACTATTCATTATCTTACAATTTCCCACTTCCATTCAGCTAGTGAATATATACTGCTTAAGGAACCATTAAAAATTCAGCCCAATGAGGCAAATATTTGTACTTCAAGGCCTGTGTGAACCTACAAACCTAATATATGAATTGGGTGTTGCTTTTCCCTCCCTCCATGCCTCCTCAAAAGAGCTTAGAATCTAGTTGCAGAGAGAGAGTGTGAAAATGAGCATAAACAAAGCGTAATTAAGTACAGTCAGGAAAGAGTAAAGTACTATTGGAATTCAAAAGATACAGATTACATCAAATTGAAAGAATGAGGAAAGCTTCACAGATGGGATGATATTTGAAGTTAATCACGTCGCAGCCCTGTGTTAGTGAGGGTGTAGAGTGAGCTGCTAGAACACAGAAACCTCAGAATACAGAAGCTTGAATTAAATCACTTTCTTCTCCCTCCTGTAAGAGTCCCTAAGTAAGGGCCCAGGGCCAGCAGGGAAGCTCCATCATCTTGATTCATGGATTCCATGGTTGGTCCACATTTACCATTTTTCACCCAGTGAAAAGTGCCACAAAGAAATTGCTTGCTAAAATCTAAGACAGTTACCTTAAGTGGAAGTTTAACTATCACGTCCACTCACATCCCGTAGTCTACAATTGAGTCACGTGGTTGTTCCTGGAGAAAGTAGTCTCTTTATGTGTACAAACATGTGCCCATCAAAAACACGGGGAGTTTCATATACAACAGGAAAAGAATCGACATGGAATTGTACTCAGTAACCCCCTGGCCAGCCAAGTATTCATGTTCACTCTTCATCCCCACATACAGGACATACTCACTCCCTGCTCAGAAAAAGTACCCAGTGCCCATTCTGACACTGTAGCCAGTGCAGAGTTGAGGAGCTCACAGTGATATGCTGTCCTTCTCATAAATCTAGCTGTGCCTTCTCAATCTCTAATGACCTATAAACCAAATGACAAGTTATCTGCTCCCCAAAAGCCTAATAAGCAAACAAAGGGCAGGAAAATAATAACCATAATATGATTTCTCGTATGGAAAGAGGAAGAATATAGGAAATCCCCCATCATAGCAGCTGCAAGCAGGAGTGAACTAAGTTCCTGGTTCTCTTAGAGTAAATCAGTTTGGCCATTATCTAAGGTCCTTGGTTTTGAATGCTAAAATCAGGATTGCCTTATTTTTTTTTTCTTTATAAGGTTACAAAAAAAAATATTTTAGACTTTGTGGGCTACATGCAGTGTCTGTGGCATAGTTTCTGTTTTGTTAATATTGTTTTTTATTTTAAAATCATTAAAAAATGTAAGCTCCATTCTCAGCTCCTAGGCCATGGAAACTAAAGATGCGTTTATTATGTGTGTGTTTGCTTGTTTCCTGTCCAGTTTCCACTGCAGCATGGTCTGACTCGGATGTGAACGTGCTTGCTGGAGAGCTGCACACTTCTTAGCCTACTTCTTGTTGGCACAGTTGAGGGAAACCACAAGCTGGGTTAGGTATTGAAACCTTTTCCAGCCCCATCATTGGTCACTTCAGCAATACAGTTTTCCCCAAGGATCTACTAGCTTTTGAGTCTATTTGCTTCCAGTCAGCTCTGTATAAAAGTAACCCCCTCCAGCACTCTCTTCTGGTCATGGGTTCTAAGGCCATCACTCTCTTCCATCAGCCACTGGCCTCTGAGCTTATTTCATTTTTCTCTTCCTCAATTTCATGCCAGTTGTCTTACGGCCATCTGGAATAATATGCTAGGTAACATCCCTAACCTCATCTTTCCTGCTAGAAATCCCTAGACAACAATCTATTTTCTTGCTGTTTGGTGAACAAAAGAAGATGGCTTGTTGAAAACTTCTGAATTCTTACTCCATGTAGATTGTGGGTCCTGGGAAAAGAGAGCTTCCTTAGCAAATTTTTATTACCACCCTTCTCTACTTGCAAACCAGGCGATCCTTGCTTGAATACAGTTTTGCCATTCGGTAGTTTCTGAAAGGACCAAAAAGCAGCCAAAGTACCCCAACATGTTACCTTTCTTGGTTACCTCTCCAAGAACCACGGGCTCCAGAGGAAGGTGATCCACCTTCCAAGGCATTACAGGAGACCTTTGCATTACAAAAGAAAAGAATTAAATGATTCAAATGGAAATTAAAGACTCTCTAGCTGAAGGCTGAGGACCAGGTAAGTCCCCCCAAAGCAGACTTGGTGATTCATAGGGTGAAGAGAAAAAAGCTTTCTTACCCTTGTCATATGGTTCAAATAAAAGTGTTTCTCTTTCAGTGCTGCAAAATTAATGTTTTGACTGTTCATGTCCCCTCCAAAATTCATGTTGAGAATTAATCTCCAATGCAACAGTATTAAAGGTGGGTTCTTTAGAAGGTGATTAGGCCACGAGAGCTTTGAAAGGTGTAAGCAGTGGCACCCACAGACAAGACCTTATTGAAAGAGGAAGTTGACTCACCTGTGCAGTGCTAAGATGGTATCTGCACCCAGGGACAGTTAGAGAGTCCTTTTATATGGGGCTGTAGGGGGTGTTGAAATTTCACCGCTTGCCCAAAAAGTTAGGGTCTTTGACATCAAAGAGGAAGGGTTAACTAGATCCTTTGACTCCTTTGTCTTAGGAGGAGAAGAGGAGGAGAGGAAAGGGGAAAGCATTCATGTGTGCCTGCATTAGGACCCCAACAGGCTTCATCAAATGAATGGAATTTGCGCCTATAAATGAGCTGGAGGGAACTAGCCAGGCTCCTCTGTGCCCTTCTGTCTATTCGACTATGTGAGGGCACAGCGTTTGTCCTCCAGAGGATGCTGCAAACAAGGGGCTGCCTTGGAGGCAGAGAGATCAGAGGTCAGGCCTCTGCTAGACACCAGATGTGTCAGCACCTTGATCCTAGACGTCCACCTCCAGAACTTGGAGAAATAAATTTCTATTATTCATACATCACTCAGCCTCAAGTATTTCATTATGGTAGCATGAATGGACTACAACTGGAAGTTTGGTGTTTTGTTTTGTTTTGTTTTCATGCTTCTTGCTTAGGATCATTGGTGCAAACCCATCCCTATAAATCTCAGAACAGTACTTATCTGGTTTTGCAAGATTCATATTTTGTTGGTTAATTGAGGTTTATTAGGAGGAGAGAGAAGCAGAGAAGAAGGCCAGGTTCCAAACCAGAGACCATTTAACATATCTGCTTTAGCTCCTTGGTATGCCCAAGATTTTGTCACAGCTTAACAAGCATTTATAGCCACACTTTACAAATATATCGTGTCTGGCATACAGAAGTTACTCAGTAATCGTTACCTATTTTTAACACTTCTTCCAAAAAATTGGAAGAACTAGAAGGTAGGACATAAAAACGATGAGATCTGTCCCTTAGTAAAATAAATGTGACAGCTGGGAAAAGGATAAACAAAAATGGAGAAAGAGAAAAGAAGTTTTTAAAAAGACTTGAAATAAGATGATGGCAAAAGAAATGGGAAAAGTAGGGTTAGATAGAAGAGGCTGAAAAACAAAACATCAAATGTTTGAAAACCAGGTCACCTTATTAGATAATGGGAACCTACTTTGCCTGGGTAACAGGGAGGACAAGATACCAGGAAGATAAATAGAGACATCAGACAGAAGTTATTTTATAAAAGAGGAAAGTAGCTCTGGTTTGGAAGTTAGAAGGTTAAATTGCTTGTAAGCAACCTAGAAACAGACATAGAGCACACAGCTTTAAATAAAATTCTAAAATCCATGCAGCACTCAAAGGTTAGCAGTAGCGATTCAGAAGCCATACAGAAGAGATGTTTGCTGCCATGAAAGTAAATAAGATTTCTGAAATAAAGAAAATTGAAAGAAGATCGCTCTAAAAATGCTGACATTTGGATGAAAATAATATTGTAGATATGCACAAAATAGAACACCACAAGGCAATAGAAAGGAGGGAACCACTACCATGATACAACACGTGATAACGTGGATAAATCACAAACTAAGTGTTCTAACTGAAAGAATTTCTTAAAAGAGTATAATCCCATTTATATAAATGTCTGCCAAAAGCAAAGCAATCCATAGTGAAAGTAAGCAGATCTGTGTTTCAAGGGAACTTTCTTGGTGATGGAAATCTCTTATCTTGATTGTGGTGGTGGTTACCCAGGTATATACAAAAACTCACAGAACTATACAATTAAAATGAGAACATTTCATTATATGCAATTTATATCTCAATAAAATTGACTTACAAAGAAATAAAATCAGAGACAGGAAGGCATTCAAAAAGAAGTCTTCAGAGAGGCAAGGAGAGAGATGGGAAATTACAGATGCCAAACAAGTATTTCAAGGGGAAAAGAACAGAGAGCCTCATAGATCGCTGTCACATGCAGGAAGAAGGGTGCAAAAAGAGAGAGCTAGGCCAAGCAGACAGTCTCTTTCAACACCCAGAATATTTGTTTTAATAGAGATGGGAAGAAATTAAGTAAGTGATATAAGACTTCTTTCATAGTAAGGAGCAAGACAAATGTAGAATCATAGCTTTTAGAGTAGCAGGGTCCAGGAAGATTTTCAGTGTGACAGACACCTGTCCTGTACTAGAAGACAAAGAACCGCAGTTTTGCAGCCTAAGTAAATGGCAAGCATATGTAGAGAAAGAGTTAAACAATGAGGTAAGTTTGCAACAAAGAAAAAAGGAAGTAAGATCAGCTTTGCACAGGGGCGGTATGGTGGCCAATGAGGTTTATCCGCGGCACGATTATTGCTACTTGAAAACTTTTCCCAATACCCCGCCATGACGACTTGAAATACAGTCAGCATTGGCAATTTTTGATGTTCTCCATGGAGACTGAATATAAAAAAGATCAAGAGGTCAAAGGGAAACATTTACCTACGCAACACTTCTCTTAAGGAGAGGGCAGTGAAGATGGACATCAATGCAGCTCTCAGATAAACAGGAGGAAAGTGGAAGGAGCTCGGGTCTATGGTCTCAAATATCACGAAGCACAAGAAGCAAGTCCTCCTTTAAAAATAGGGAAGCACATCTGAGTAAGGGCCTGACAGGAGCAGAGAAGAATGAGAACCCTTACCAAGGGCATCTCTGTCAAGAAGTGTCTCTCCAACTCCAATGTACAAATGAGTCACCTTAGGTTTCTATTAAAAGGTAAGTTCCCATGTAGTACTGAGCCTGACACTGAACTTCCATCAATGCATGACCCCACTTTTGAATAGCAAGGTCAGAGGGAACCCTCTAGCTATGAGCAAAAGGATAGTGAAGAAGGAGTTCGGGTCTGGGTGGGAGCAGCCACACAAATGTACAATGAACACCTCCAAGGAACGTGAAATCTCAAGAACTGTTGATACTCTGTTGTAACATCTGCACCCCGCGAGGCGCATAGTAGGAACTGAATAAATAGGTGCTGAATGAGTGGTTCTCTCTCTCAGGGAAAGTATGCAGTGATGATTAAACACATTTGGAGAATCAAAGGCAGAACTGACAGAAGAAAAAGGGGGAAAGAGGATGTAAGATTGAGTACATGGGAAGTAGCTGCCCATAGGGTCCAGGGAGAGAGAAAGAGCTAAGTGCTATCAGTACAGGAGACTTGGTATGGAGAAGTGAGAGGGGGGAGAGGTAGGAGACCACAATCAAAATAAGAGTCATAAAAGAGGAAATTAAAGATACAGATATTTGGAAGAATAGAATTTGCAGTCAGAGAGAGAGCTCTATTTCAATCTATAAGAATTTGAAATAAAGAAGTTGCAAATGAGAGCTGAAGTCTGGCTGAAGGGGAGCTTATCATGAATTGATGAGGTCGAGGAAATTTTTAATAAATTTGCTGAGATGACCATGTCTAAAAGGACATGAAGGCTGAGCCTAACAGCCAGCATCTCTTTAGGAACTAACTCTTGGCAGCAAGTAATAACTATTCCCGCCCAGTTTGATTACAATGCAGAAATAGAATAGGAAGGTCTTATGCCGTCAGGATAAGCACTGACTTGACTTAACCTGGGTGACATGTTCCTGGGTTTCACCAAAAATAATATCTGCTTGGGTGATAAGGACTTATATAGAAAAGATCCAGTAATATTTCATGTCATCTTGAGGCAAATTTATATAGCTCCATTAAAAACTTTCAAGGTTAAAAATCAGAATGCATAATGAAAATGCTAAAATGAAGAATGGCTTATTGGCAAGAGCATTAGGATGGTACATTCTGGGAGAAAGGCATGTCTGGAGCAAAGATTCAAAGAATCTTGATGTGCTAAATAGTTATTGATGACCCCCCCCATCCGAAAAATCATTTTGCAGCCCAACCTGGACTATAAATTAGTGACCAATCCAGTTAATGTTGAAATCCTCTTCTAATTGTCATCAAAAGGGTCCAAGGTGGAAATAACAGTATATGGTCAAGTGCCTCTGCCTGTGTGTTTCCGTGCAGACCCGCAAGTCAGCGCTCAGCGCTGCGTTCACACGCCTGATCCCTATTCCTGCACAGAGACCCTCTCGCCAATAAAGAGAAGATGCCAAGGCTGTCTGGGGCGAGAGGGGAGACTGAGCACGAAGGGAACGGCACTGCCTGCTGGAGCTGGTGTTTCCACCGCTTTCTCATTTAATCCCTACATTTCATACCCATAACTTAACTTGGGTGGGAAGTATTATCTCCCTTTTGAATACACAGAAACTAAAGTTCAGAGGAGTTAAACGCCCTCCCAGGTCTCAGAAGGCACCAGCCTAGGCCGCCAGTCCATCCCATGCCTTCAAGGCTCTTTCTTCTCTGCCACATTCCCTCCCGGCGCAACTTAATTATCCTCACCCATTCCATAAATACACATTAACTGACTTAGACTCCAGGCACTGGAAATAAAGTGCCTTCATTTGAATAACACATGGTCCATGAATAACACATGGTCGTGCCCACAGTCTTATTGCAAATAATGACAGCGCAGCGCAGAGCAGGCAGGTGAAAAGTGCACTTTTCACAGCTCGTGTGAGGAGTGCCCAGCTCCAGACAGAGGGGTGACAGAAGCCTGCAGACAAATGCCAGACGTTTAAGCAGACTCATAAAGAATTAGTTCACCTCATGGCTTATAGGGAGAAGGGATTGACAGCCAAAGGAAATAAGCCGGGTCCACATTCTGAGAGACGCTCACAGTTGAGCTAGTTTAGGAAAGAAGCCAGTAGATGTCGAAAATATTATGAGTAAACTTC